TAGAGGAAAGACTTTTAAGTCTTTTTATTCGTGCCACGTCACTTTGTTAACCCACTTTGTCAAGCCACTTTGTACAAGTAGCATGATCGATGAAATAAACGGAATGACCTAGTTATAAAAGATCTCGAGTTCAGCAATTAAATTTAATAAGTAAAGCATGCTGGCATAATAGTGCCTTTCTCTATCACACGACAGAGAAAAGCAATAAGCAAAATCGACAAACTTTTACACTTGGTCCTGGTCGATTACTCTACCTTTAGGTAGTCTAGATATTGGACTCAATGGCATGAACACTAACAAGACAACCTGAAGAAATTGAACTTTAGAACTTGATCAATACATATATTTATATACTTTAAATTTCTAATTCATCCTCTAGGAATTTTATTATGTCATGGAATCCAGTTGCATGATGGTGCTTAAGTTCATTGGGGTCATGTACTCGTCCGAACCAGTGAAGATCGTTGAAACAATAATCTTGTTTGCTCTTTCTGTTGGATGGAATGGATCCCAAAATGCGTATACTTCTCTATTTGGGCATAAATTTGATGTAGGGTTGCAAATTCCTACGCCGTTATAGGGTCCTTGTCCACAACATGCTATCTTTGCTGTGACAAAACCTGCTTAAGAAAAAAAAAATGTAAAATTAAGTAATTTATTATGTCATAGTGTTACACCTTGAAAGAGAGAAAATGAATGGCTTATAGGGTAACAAACCGAAGGCTCGAGGATTGTCGATGAAGTTGTTCTGCATTTGTACTGCGTTAGCAGCAATAAATATGTCTGATCCAAGCTCTTGATTTAGGCTTCGAATCATTTGGATAAGAAGGGGGTTGAAAATTGCTGCTGCACGTTGAGGCTCCTCGGCGCATTGGCCATTTGTGCTCCTTGACGCCAGGACTCTTCCGTGCGTTGGATTTCCAGGTCAAGGCCATTGTTCTTGGGAAGACCGAGGGTTAAGTATATCGGAGACTATACATTCCTTCATTACACTATAGCGCTTTTATGGTCTAATTGTTCAGTTCAGCTTGATAATGGAGGAATTTTCAAGACATTAAAAAAGTTAATTTTTTCCGGAACTAATAAACTATATCAATGGTGATTTGACTGAGAAAAATATAAGATCCAAACAGAAATGAACCAGGAACCATGATTCACAAATTTGATTGGTTACACTATTTTTTTTTCCCATTTAAGATAGGCCTATATGGGTGAAAGAAGCTAACACATTACGAATGTGAATTCAATTAATGTTTTACCCCTTTTTTGGTCCTGACATGACATGTACTACAAAATCCATTTGACTAATTTCCTCACTTGGTACTTGTGACTTGTACGCAAAAAAAAAAATCATGAAAAATGCCACTCAAACAGGCCCAAGGACCGAGATAATGGCACCTTAGCCTCTTGTTTTTGGATCGGTCCCCCACCCTGTTTGAAGAGCACGATTTCAGAAGGAAAAAAGTTACAATATAAAATAAAATGAAAAATTAAGAAATTACCATCAAAATTTTCCTGTATTCAGAAATTAGATAACGGGAGAAATCTTGAAGATTATACTGAAGTCTTCTAGCAGTAATTGGAGTAAAGAAGTAGTTGTTCACGAAATCATTCCCACCAAGTGTTATCAGAACGAGCGCCTTGTTTACGAGTTGCTGTGCCTTTTCTTCTCCTATGAGTGCAGCAACTCGTTGCTGGTACTGTCGGAAGAATTCCAATTGCGGATAGATTCTTATTATGTTTGCCTGACAAAAATTTAATCAAGAAAGTAAAATATTCTTAAAATTAGTAATGTCTATTGATTTTTGAAGAGTGCGCGCGCGGGGTTTTTAGGGACAAGAATTTATAACATTACAAATAAGCTACAAAAAAAATGTCTATCGACTAGATAAAGGTTAGAAAACCGTCATTGTCATTGGAGGAAATGCAAGGTTCAGAAAGATAACGTGCACAAGCAAACATCCAGAAATAGTATACTTCCACTTGTTTCTACTCCTCCTGTATGGCTCTGCGTCGTGCTTATCGACTAATTTTTGTCCACGTCGATTCTTTTCAAGAAACATCTCATTTAAAAAGCTTTTAAATGAAAGTGAATCCGCAAGACTTACGAACTGAATTCCAGTGTCATTAAGAATGCCAATTCCAGCAGAGGCAAAGTTTGCTCCAACCAGTAGTTTTTCTCCTGTAAACTGTGGGCTCAAGTATGGCAATGCAGATTCAGCACCAAGCTTTTGACCTATAGATTAAGAAACATTGTCGTGTAAAACAAATTGTGACGAACTTTCTTTATCTAAAGAAATGTAACATGAAAGATAACAAGAACTAGGAAACTTACTGATGAGATCAGGAATGTTGAAACCATTTGAAAACCGGCCGGTGGGACGGTGAGTCGGGTAATCAATGCCATAAGGAGGAGAGTCTGCCCGTGCAGTGGTTGCCAAGTAGTTGTTATTGCCATTATCCACAAGTGAGTCGCCAAATACGAAGAAAGCACGGGCACCCTCGACTGGGGGTGCCACAATTGCCATGAACCCTACTAGGGAAATGGCCAAACCTGTAAAACAAATTGAACTAGACATTGTGATCACAAGACTCTTTATAGATACGTTTATCTATATATCTCTTTCGCGGAAGATTGATGTAGTGTAAATGAGAAAGTTAAGGTGGTTTTATACAGGATTTTGTGGTACTAATACGAGAGTTCGTTGAAAGTTGAAACCCTAATAAATGGCCGGTGCCAGCCGACAAAAAGCAAGAAACCACCTTAGAAAAGTAATGTAAAAGGATTTGTAATTTAATTACTGTCAGGAAATGAGTAAAATGCATATATACATGATATTGTAGGCTCTACATTTGCTTAGTAATAGGAAAAATTGCGACCAGCATTGAATAAAATTTCTTCATTTTGTATCCCTTTCTGCTTTTTGTTTTTTAAAAAAAATATATTTTGGCTTTAAACCAGTAAAGAAAAGTCTCTTTCTACAGTTATCATCCGAAAAGACTGATTATCCCGGGATTAAATCTCGGGTCAAACCAGGTATTGGAGGGGGATATGCTGGGGCTGACCCCCCTCCAATAGGGGCCGGGACAACCGGACAAGTAGCATGGCTGGTTATCATCATGCCATTCATTGGCCACAACTACTCTGTATCTCATAAATGGATTGACTTGGAGTACTGTTTTGAAAATAGTAATGAGTCGCTATCGGCTACACTTTTTCTTGTGCCAACTATAAAAAGCCTTTTTAAGTTCAGCGATCTCATGCACTACTAAAAATCAGATATATATATATATATATATATATAAATGTTCTCTTGTCCACGGTGGGCAGAATAAGACTGTCCACCTGCTGATGTGACAGGAGAACCCAACGTTGAGTTCTTTCTGAGTGGATATTATAAGATTTCCTATCGTGGGCAGGAGAACAGCTATATATATATAAAGTTTGAAGATCCTTGTATATATAGTATTTCGAAATCAAAACACGATAAAATTGCTTGTCATCTGTAGGAATAGCAACGGAGCGGGTATGAGACGGATTGGCCATTCTCACCCTCGTCCCATCGAGTATTTTTTTTATCTTGCCCTATCCACATACTCGGTTAAAGCTGGACAGGACGGGATCGGGGTGGGGAGGGGCAGGTCTCTTGTCCCATTTATCTTCACATTTATTTTCTCTTTTTATTTTTTATTTATTTTATAACTTTTTTATGTTTTTAGTTAGTAAATATTATTAATTTTTTATCAATTT